AACAATTTCTTCCTTTTTAGGATGCAGATATAAAGAGCATATTCTAATATAAATCGTGGGAAAATTGAGTCATGTACAAATTGATGAAGCCATTGTGTCACAGTACTGTATTAGTGATGTGGATGTCTATATTCATCTGATTATAGTCTCACAAAAGAACAAGGAGGAGGTTTGGTTTGGCAGATAGCTTGTTTGTTTAGTGCCAGCTAACACTTAACTGTCTGCTGGAAAATACACAGAATAACACTTGTTTAGAGGTTGTAAACACTCTCCGTGGATGTGAATTAACTCAGCATCAGCTCTGCTCATCGGAGAATCAAAACGTTGTCCTGTGCCAGTCGTGCTAATGCAAGCTGCTTAATGTGTCACTGATGCCTCCCCATCTCTGTGGATCTGTACTGGATCTGCAGTATAATTCCAAGGGATGTGAGAGAGTGTTCCAGTCTGCCTTAAGTTATTAATGCATTTGCCTTAGACTGGATGGTGAAATGAATAATGCATATAGAGTGTAATTATAATTGTCAGAAGTTGGCTTTGGGACTTCCCCAGGCCAATCTCATCATTGTCATGGTTTTATGATTTTTGGTCATCATTCCACACCAGTATTCCAAAAGGCATCTGTAGCTAATGATGATCTATTAGACAACAACCAAACTGGAGTCAGGAGCTTGCAAGTTCTCAGCTGTTTCTTCCTCTCTTCCTTCTTCCTGAGAGATGCATCCACAAGGATGGGTGTGGGCAGATGCCAGATCCCATGTCGCCTTGGTGCCATCTCAGTCCGGTGTTTTGCTGGGGCTCTGTACCTCAAGTGGTTGGTGGAGGTCATCAGGAAGCTGCCAAAACAAAGCCTCGCAGCAGCACTGAGGGATGATATGTATGGATGAGAGTTGTGGCTGAATTTAATTTTTCGGTGCTGCCCTTTGCTGAAAGGAATGCTTTTTTGGTTGAATCAAATATTAATGCTTTTTGCATTTTCAAGTAAGGCAAGCCACTGATTAAACTCATCTGCAAAAAGATAGCATGTGTACTGTTCAGATGGTTTAGTTGAAAACTGTGCCTTCTCTTAATAATACCACCTTTCCTGTTTGTCAAACCCAGACCATGCATAGTTGGGTAGGTGAGGATTTGCCAGCTAGGACAACTACAGCTTCCTCAGGGCCCGGTGAAGGAAACTTGGAAGAAAAATGTAAACAGGTAGACTAAAAGCTGTGTGCACTAATCACACTAATCTTGTTTGCAGTTGCCACTGTCTAGCTGTGTAAAGAGGCCTTGACTGGGGGCCTAAAAAAGTGTCTGCGTGTGAAATAATTTTTGGCTTTCTGCTTTTCTGTTAACCCCTGTTTTTGTGTCTCTGAAACAGAGTTGGGGGTTCTCTCCGTTTATGGAGGTCACAATGTAGTGAGCTCATCACCACTATAGGTTTTGAGTAACTTGAAAACTGTTTTTAGGTAGTTCAGGCAGGTAGCTGCTTATTCTGCTTGGTTGTTAGCAGGCCAGCTGCAGCAGCAATCACCAGGTACTGGTATTAAGTTTAGGTCACTGACTGTATTTTCCCTTAACATTTCTCCAGTTAGCTCGATGTTTTTTGCTTAATAAGCCCAAATTACTTCAGAGAGTCTTTAATGTTTCAACTGATTTGTGGAGCTTACTAGATTCTGATAAACAAATCAAAAAACCACCCCCATCAAGTTGCTAAAGCACTTGTGTCCATTGAGCAGCTGGCGGTTAGGCAGCATGACTTCTGCATTGGCATAAGTATGAGATGTGGGGAGCTGTTGCCAGCTGGTGGAACCTGATCCCCTGCTGCATTGTTCTAAGGAAAATAACAAAGTTACATAAGCAGCCCTTCGCAAATGATTCGGCAAGCTGACATGGAGCCAGACCCCTTCACTAGCAGACAGGCTCTGAATTGACTGGAGTTTCTCTAGCTCAAGCTAGCAGAGAACTGCCTGGTTAAGATTAGGTCATCTATAGAGTCTATGTTATTTGTCACTGATAGGAGATGGATTAGCATTCCACATTAATGGGATGGGGATACAAAGGCAGAGGAAAATTGTTCTAATTATGTATCATCAGGCACACGTGCTGCATGGAGGATGCTGTGTTCAGAAATTTGTTATTGACTGTTTTTCTCTACCTATTTAGTAATGTAATGAAACAAGCACCAAGATTTTTGGAAATAACCAATGGTTATAAAAACATTCTATAGTCTGTCACAGGCTGAAAATCCACAGATTTTAAAGCTCAAAAGAATTAGTTAGGGAAAAAAACAAAACTTTGACTAAGTATATACTGGATGAGGGCTACTTAAAAGCAACACAGCCAAGATTAACCCACGTAACTCTAGTGCTGCTTTTGAGAGCTTTGCTGGAGCATCACTCAGGCTGCAAGTAATACTTGGCTTTTTTTCAAATAATGTAGACTGTAGGTCTGCTTTCTTTTGGGCCACATAAGAGTACCAGCATTGTGAGCGGCTGTTCAATCCTCCATTCAAAGCCCAGTGACCTACTTGCAGGCAATAACAAAGCTGCTGAAGAGCACAGTGTACACAAAATACTGGCAGACGAGCAAACATTTCTAAAAACAAACTGTAGTCTGTGCAGAGAGGGAGTGTGGACAGAGATCTGCTTTCATTAAAGCCAGCACAGAAAACTAAAATGAAACTGAAGTGATTTCAGGGAGCCAGTACTTCTTCCAGATACTCCTGCAGTACAGCAGCTGAGCTATCAGTATTCAGCTGTAAGTTTTAGGTAATGCTCTGCTTTAAAGTAAAGCCTCAGGGTGTCACATAGTCCCTGACGGAGCTTTGGTGAAGTTTTTGCTCAGAGATGAGATGTGGCTACACCTCTGGCATATGACAAGAAAGATAACTTCAGAAATAACATGTGTTGGAGTGCACATACTTTTGTGCCTTTTTTGCTGTTTTTACACAGGAGTTTTCCAAGGATGGTCTTTTTTTAACCCATCGATGAGAGATGTGTGGAACCAAAGGTATCTTGAATCCTTTCCTGCCTCACTGTACCTTGGGCAGCACCCGACTGCTAGAATATCTCCAGATATTCTAGTTTTTGAGCAATCTTTAAACCTGGGAACCTTCTTGATCAGTTTTCCTGTTTTTCTGATCCTTGTGAACATGTGATCTGCTTGTTCTGACACAGAAGATCTGCATGTCCATTTCCTAACAGTCCAGGATGTGCATGGCATTCACAACTGGGAATGTACTTTGGCATGATTTGTCACTTTGCATTTGGTTCAACATGCTGATCTGAGATCTTGTTTGTAGTAATATTTTCATTACAGAAACTTGTTGGATCAAAACTTGACAGAAATACAGATGCCAGTTGGATACCTTGCAAACTTCATGACAGAGTTGCCCAAAACTCAGGCCAAAGGACAGTTGAGTCTGGAGCTAAGAAAGCCATGGGGAAAAAATTATCTCCCAACTTCTCATCCTTAGAATTAAGTGTGAAGTGAATGATGACATGCTGTGTTTCTGTTCAAGTCAATGGGATTTTGGTAGAATGCAGCATGACCTGTACGAAACGAAGAGTCTGAAGACCTGTTCACTGCAGTCCATGGAAAGAAAGCCCATTGGGTGTTGTGTGCCTCAATTTCTTTGTTGGCTATATGAAAAGGATATTAATAAACTTTGAAATCTACAGGTGGAAAATGTTTTCTTATAAGTAAAGCTGCGTTATTGACCAGATGAGTAAAAGGATCAGTGTAGCTCAAACAGTAATTAGCATACTGAAACAATGAGGTACTTTGATGCTTCTCCACCCTGAAAGGGTTTCTGTGTACCCAGGTTCATCATCTGATAATGGATTCCACTTCAGAGGGAACTGCAGATACAATTAATTATCACAACTTTATAGATGCATTATTTACTAAAACCTCCTTTTCCTTTGAGTTGATGAGAACAATGAATGTACAGTTATTACCATAATAGTGAATTATATTTTTGCCCTCTTTAAAATTATTTTTCATTCTTAAGAAGTCTTGGAAAATTCCCAAAAAGAAAGACAGAAGTATCTGCTCTTCCTAAGCATGTATGCTGTTCCAAAATAAAAACTCACATAGCTTCATTTCTTTGTTAATCTAAGCTAGTGCTTTTGTATCCAGATAAGTATTCTGGAGATTGGTATGACACTGACACCAGCTGGAGAAGATGGTGCTGCAAATCATCAGAAGTTCTTCACTGTTGCTTTATTTTGACTGTTCTTGGAATGAGTTTTTATGTTGTATCTTCGTATCTTCTCAATATAGTGTACATTTACTAATGGAGTTAGTGGAGAACTTACTCTGGCAGCCAGTCTTCTAGGTAGATAGGATAAAACATTTTCCAGTGAAATGGTCAGTTGTTTTGTTTTACTTACTGAATTCAGGGAATCTGGTTGGGTTTAACCTGTACAAGGATTAGGGAAAGATTCTTCTCACCATCCTGATAGGTGTTCCAGTTGAGCCAGAAGCTTGAGCTGCTGGAACAGCCACAGCAGTGAAGCATGAAGAAGTGAGAAAGCAGGAGCAGGGATTGTCTGATGAAACGAATTTATTGGATCCTTAGAGGAGGAGAGGTTGTGTGGGAAAGGGACTAGTCTCTTTTTCGCTTGAAGGTAGCAAGTATGGGAATGACAAATTGCAGTCCCCGATTCTTCGTTATCTGAACTCTTGGTTTTTGGTTCTTGAAATTTTTTGCAGTAACTTTTCAATGGAAATATGTGCTGGATGGGAGAATGGTTAGATTTTCTCACTTGCTGTGGGATAGTACACCTGAGCACACTGTACAGATCTGAGAAATGGCATAAATGTAAAGGTGTGTTTAAGCTTGAAGCTAAGAAGGTGTAATTCTAACAGTAATTTCTTGTGACGCACTGCAAGGTATGTGTTAGAAGGTGAACATGGGAATCTTCTGAAGTGGATGTTGTATAATTTGCCATAAGAATTGTTACCAACAAATTGTGTACTTGAAATAGAAACTAATGTTATTTTCTTCTTTTCAGGCAGCACAAATAGTCCTGATTTCTCTCTTTGAACTGAACACTCCCGAGTTTACCATGCTACTTGGTGCCTTGCCAAAAACATTCCAGGATGGTGCTACCAAGCTCCTGCACAACCACCTCAAGAACTCCAGTAACACCAGTGTGGTGAGAGGCCCATGTTCTTGCAAACAGCAGAACCTCACAGACTGCAGCTTGTTGAAAAGCTATTGCAGATGTCCAGTAGCATGCACTATCAGTAGCTGTTGTCTTGAAACAGTGTATCAGCAGAGGCTTCTGTTTGATGTTACTTTAATGAGTCTGTTAAAACAAATAATTCAGTTATTTTTAATATAGTGCTTGCGTATATAATTTGAGAGAATGTTAATGGAGATGTAGTTTGCTTCCAAACATTTCTTTTCCCCTCAGCAATAACGAGTTTTTAGGGGTGTGGGTTTTTTGCCTTTTTTTTTTTTGTGCATGGAAATCTTGTGAAGTTTGCTGGAATTTGAACCCTCTCATCTTTGCCCTTCCATAGCAATGATAGACCTTTGTGTAAACTCGAATTGCAGCATTAGGCTTCCAAGGAGAAGGACTGGATTCTCTAGTCCCTTCCACCTCGTTTATCTTCCTCTCTGTGGAGTGAGTCAGATTTGGGAATGGTTTCTACTCATTTTTCCTGTGGTATGAATTATTATGCAGGCCAGTGGAAAAATAAGTTAATTGATTGTGCTTGTTAAGATCGTAAGCCATCAGAATGCTTTAGACAATGTGTAAAATAGCTGCATAATTAAGTTGCTAAATTGACAGAGTAATGGTCTGCCTTCTCTGGAGCTGAAAAATAGTGTTTGAGAAACTGGGTAGTTTGGTGAATTGATAAACCATTTTCCTGGCAGTATTTGCAGGCCATACATGCTGCAAAGTTAAAACTGCTGGTTCTATGAATAGTAGAGAGGTACATGTGTGCTTCTTCATCCTCTGAATACATTACTGACTACATGAACCATGGCTGCTGATTTTTGGGTCAAGAGCAGGAGTGAAAACTATGCCAAGCTTGTCTAGCACAAAGGCAGTGTTTGAAGCTGTTGCTGCTGTTGTGTCCTCCTGTTCTTATGTTGCAACATGTTGCTAATCCCTGTTTTCCTGTTTGTATGCCAGGGTTCCCCCAGCAATACTCTTGGTAGGACTCCTTCTCGGCACTCCAGCAGCAGAACCAGCCCCTTGACTTCACCTACCAACTGTTCCCATGGTGGGCTGTCTCCAAGGTAATGTGGCAGGTTAATTAAACCACTTAAAGGATTTCAACACTGAGCATGCATAATGCAAAATATGACTCACTTTAAAAACAAACTAGAGATCAGAAGTTTACAGTAAACTGTTCCAAAGGAGCAGGCTTCAAACATGATAGTACATGGTTGGTGATTGACTTCATTGTTTGAGTCCTCATGTTGATCTGTGTAATCTCAATGTCTGTTCTTATATTAATTCTTTCATAACCAGGCCTTCTCCAGAATCACATTTGTGGATTTAATAAAGGTAATACTAAATGGCAGCATTAGTGATGAGGTGTTGTGTAGGTTACAAATACCACAAAGTATGTAAGACTTTCAAGTCAAGGGTTTCAGTTGTCTGTTTTTTGGGTGTGCTGTTATGTTCAGTAATTTATTTGACTGTTGCAGTGCTTGCACTGCAGAGAAAAATGCTGAACTTCCCCTGTTCCTCTTTTATGCTTTGTGAGGATGCAAAATACAGGTTGTGACTGTATTTCAGTGCTGAGCACCTCACAAATCTCCTCCCTCCTTGGTTACCGGCAGAACAGCATCCTGATCCTTTGGGCAGTATGTCTGTTGCAATCAGGTATCTTACTGAAGCTGCAGGTGCTACCCTAGAATATATTAGTCCTCTCCAAAACCTTCTATTCTGTGTACATGAACTCCTGTGTGCTGAAATTTATTTATTTATTTATTTATTTATTTGGTACAAGAAAAACTTAGAACAGAGATGATATGCATGTATACAGTGTGCTCTGGGACCTTAGAAATATGGGAAGTATTAGATTGTTACCTGGTCATGCTTTGATGATTCATGCTGGGAAAGCTTAAATGCCCTGCCTCATTATGAGAAGTCACTTTGCTGTGGCTGAAGCAGAAACAAAAGGAAACATACTGTGCAAGGATGGCAATTCACAGTCCAGTTTAGTAATTTACGCTGAAATCTGTTAATCAGCCTTGTCATGACTTGCTAGACAGTATCCGTGGGGGATGCTTAGCACTTCATGTGTCAGAAAAACACAGGTTGTTTGCTTTTAATGAAGTAGTTAGACTATTCCAGCAGTGTATGGGGACTACATAAAGTTTCCTGAGGAAATTCTGAGTATCTGAATAAATCTTTGTAATCCTAAATCTGATGTAATCCAAAACCAGACTGAAAGTTTGCAAGTCAAGGTCAAGTTGCCTATTATGAGGCTTTTCAACAATGGTTCCATTAAGAAATTAAGTGATAGAGTTTCAGGGGAATGGTTCCAACAATGTTGCTTCCTTTTCTACTAACTTGAGTATTGTTGCTCTCCTGATTGATGTTTGTCAGTGGAATTACAAACAGGTTATATCTCCTGATGGTTACGTTGAAACTTTGCGAGTCACACTTGCATGTGGCATCTTTTTTGTAAATTTATGATCTTTTGCCATGCTTTTTGGGCTTTGCCACTGTGACACGACTTGTTTTTCCTCTTCACTCACTGCTATTCTGTTTAGCTTTATGTCTTTATTATGTCTTGATGTCAGGTTATACGTATCAAGATGCAGATTAAAGCTTCCATCATCTACTCAATTTAATGTTGCTCTTTCCAAGCTTTTGGGGAGAGTTCCAAGCAACTGGAGAGTTTATTACATGGGGTATGTTCTGAAGGAATGGTTAGAGAGGACATTTAATTCTAGAACATTCTGCCATTAAGTTGTGAAGACCAAAATTGTTACTGGTATTCTGATCCAGGAATGTCCTTTTAAAATCAGTAATTCCTTTGATTTTCCATGGAATTCTTGAAGTTGTTGACCCTAAAGTTTAGGTACCTTTTCAATTAATCTGTCTTGATTCATTGCTGGATTTAGGTAAGACTACGTAATAATTACTGTTCAGTGGTGGATGAAGGTGCAAGCTGCTTTAAAAGCCATTTAAACTAATCAGTTATCCACCTTTTTTGTAACCTATGGGCAATAGCAGTAGCTGCAGATTTTTACCACCTGTAGAAGAGGCGGTGGCAAGTGTTACAAATCAGTGGCAGTAGTTTATGACATTCTGCTGGATTGCATCACTGTGTCTGATGCAGCACACTTTGAGGTCATGACTTACTGAACAAAGGGGAACTCAGTTCTGTTTTTGGAAATTGTATGGTTGTTCTTTAAGAAGAAAAGGCTTTGGAAGATGTGCAGACTTAACATGTTGTGAGTAGGGTACGTTGTGGTATACCAATATGATGTTGGTGTAGATGATTCTATGTCATCTTTCCATTATAAGTACTTGTGGTTTGCAATGCAGCTTACGGTGTAGAATGTGACTTTTATGTCTACAAACTTGAACAAGCAGACCCAAGTCATTCTGGTAGCAATCTGAAAGGATGAAGTTATCACTGTTTCACTGTAGAGCCCTTCTTTGAACCAGGTTTTGATCATACCTTCTGCTGGACCCATTTCATTCCCAAAGTGTAGCAAGGTTGTCTGTGTGGTGCACTGTTGCCTGCTTGCCCTCCAGTTCTTAGTGCCAGTATTGGCTTGAAGGTTTTATTTTCCTTTGAATTTTCTCTTGATACACAGATTGGAAGAGTCGTATTTAGAGCCATGCGTATTTTTGGGGCATGGATATCTAATCTTCCATGTAAAAAGGATAGTTTGGATTGCCTAGAAATATATATATATATATATATATATATATATATATATATATATATATGTATATATGTATATATATATGTATATTAGTGTCTTCGGAAGAATAGCATGGGGCTTTGGACAGAGCCCTTCCTTATGCTTTCATTTGCTCCATCCTGTTCTGCTTTCACAATGACTAGAATATATCCGCTGCAGTGAGTTGTTTCTGCAATTGTACCTACTTTTGTTGTCCAGATAGCTTTTTGGGAGGGAAGTTACAAAGCAAGAGAGATCTTTCTGGAGAAGAAAGGAAAGGAAGACACTTGGGAAAACTGAAATGATAGGGAAAAAAAAACATATTTCTGAGTAAGAATAATGAATGTTTCCTGGGCAATGCACAGATGAATGGCTTGTGTTTGTGTTGGATGGAGAAAATTGCAGGTTTAGTGATGTAGTACAGCAAGAGGAAAAATACTAAGCTAAGAATTCCTCCAGTGTGTGAATGCTATTTTGAATAAAAAACTGTCCTCTGTGAGCTCAGATGCCACATACAGGTTGTGAATTTTCACTGACAATCCATTAGGAATATTTGAAGGAATTATATCAAATGGATAAGTTTGCCTCTATTAGCAGCCCAGAAACTTGTGCATAATTGGGGAAAAAAAAATGCCGATAGCTTTATTTGGCCTTGAAAGCTTCATATGCTTGCTTTTTCACTGAAAATTAAAAAATACTGTTAAAATAAACTTTAATGACATCTATGTTAAGTTGAGCGAGGCAGGACATGGAAAAAGAATTAAACCACCCACCTTATACAATAAAGACAAGCCTGCATTATTCAGTGGCCCATTGGCAGGTAGGTGTGATCTTGAGCTGTGAGATTTCTATTCAGCGTTCTGAATGTCTGGTGCGTTTCTGTAGTAGTTGAATGTAATAGCTATGGTTTTGATTGCTGGTTAACGCGTGAATTTGACGTCACACTTCAGATGAGTTTTCAACTGGCATTGCTGCTGTTTGTGCTGAAGCAACTCTCAACCTGTTTGCCACATCTGATCTTGTAGCATCTTTCACCTGTGTATACTGATGTGACTCTCTGAGACAAGTGTGCTTAATTTTAGTAGAAACAAACTGGCATGCTGAATATTCCACGAGCTCAAACATTTGTATTGTTTAGAAGATGATTTTGATAATTCCTGTGACAGAAAGGGAACAAGGCAAAAGTAAAAACTAAACACATTCAGACAAATTTGGTTGCCTTGACCAAAGGTGCAGTGCCAGATGGTAACTAAGAGGCCCCTGTAAAGGTTTCAAGAGAAATATGAACTGAGTTTCAGGCTGGGTTTCATTCAGTCTTTCCAGGTTGTCTGCAGAGACAAACAAGCCCCTGGTTTACCTGACTCGTGTGCTCTGGACTGATTTTCATTTATTTCATGAAGTTCAGTTTCAGCTCTCTTATCTTTCAGGAAATTCTGTTGCTTGCAAATACCTGCATAGAATTTGGATACAGATGTTTGGTCAGGGATTGTTCACTTAAAGCATTTTAAGTGTTGTTTATAGAGACTATATCTATTTATGCAATTTAAGAGAGACTATTTTTGTGTGAGCTGTATCTTTATGGTAGAAAAAAGTGAAAATAAAGGCCAAAGCAATGACTTAAGGGGCTCAGTGGAGTATTCTTGTTTAATTTCGTTTCTATTAATTTTTTTTTCTCTCTTCAAGGCAGCATGACAGCACTATGCCACTCAGATTATAGTTTCTTTTTTTTCTCCCTCTCCTTTCTCTGTTTTTCTCTTTCGTTTCTCTGATCACTGCAGTCGGTTCTGGGGTTGGAGTGCAGATGGGCTGTCGAAGCACCCCCCTCCCCTTTCTCAGCCTAACTCCATCCCCACCGCTCCTTCCCACAAGACTTTCAGACGCTCTTATTCTCCCAGGTAACAAGCTACCTGTTAAACCAACTTCTCTGAGATGTCACAGTACTATTTACCTTTCATACTTTATAATTTGTTCAAGCATAGGAAATGATTTCCAAAAGCTTCGATTGAAAAAGAAATTGGGATGATGTTAGTTCTCAGACTGGGGAGATGAATCAGCCACTGCTCTCTTTGTGAGGGAGATGTGGCACGCCAGTGGAAAAACAAAGTGAATTCTTCCAAATTAATTTCTCCCTGCTGGGTTTCCTGAATGCAGAGCACAATTGTTGAGCACTTTCTGTATGCACTTGTTGTGACAGTGATTTCCCATCTGCAGTAGTATCTGGCGGCCAGTGAGGGTGGTGTGTATGTGATTCACCAGCTGTTTGTGTGATGATCGTGGAACATCCTGGCACTGTGTAGTATTGAAATTAAATGTATTATGTGTCCTTCCCACAAGATTTAAGGGATTGGCAGTTAATTTTGGTCACTATTCCTCCTCTTGTACACTCGCATTTCTATCTTTTTGTAGATACTGAACCTGTGTACAAAACTAAAACTGCATACTTGTTTTGATCAAAAACCAAATTTAATTTGCCAGATGTCTGTTAGATTACTTGGATTATTATGAAGTTTAAGCCCTATCACCAGGCTTTCTGTGGATGTGATTTATTTGGACTTACATGTGAGTCTCACTTGAAGAAGGGCTATATCATCTTCCCTCAAAGAAAGAAGATCCTAACTGGAAGCTGTTGAAGCAAAACCAAACAAATAGTTCTTGGAAACCTGAAAATCTGGGAGTCTGTGACAACTGAGATAGAAAATAGAATCACACATTCTGCATCCCTGTGAATAGCAGAGGATGTAAAACATGAAATCAATATTCAGGTTCTAGGACCATCTGAGAAATCTGTGGAAGAGGTTAATGTTAATTTGGACTGGGGTATGCGGGTTATGCTAGTTGAGAACAATGTTTTCCTCCTTTCATTAGTCAGCATTGAGCTTTGAAATAATTCCAGCCCAGAGCATGAAAGTGCAAGAAACCCTAACTGTGTACTGCTTGAGGATGCTCAACTGTTAGTTACTCACACATAGTTTGGATTGGAAAATGAATAAAAGTTCATGAAAATAAAATCTTTATGACAGACTGCAAAACAGCCAAATTTTGTTTTGATAAGCTTGTGGAGGGCTGTATTGTTTCAGTGCGACGGAAGACGGAAAATAATGCTGTGACATCCCTGAACACTGCTCATCTCTACTCTTATTTCATCCTGTGACTTTCCTCTAGTTTTCTTGATTGGTTGCTTTTTTTTTGTGCTGGTTTTTTTTTCCCTCAAAGGTGGGTTTAGCTTCATTTTATTTTCTCCATCACGTTGTCTGTGAATTATTCCAGCACACATACTGTCAGTAGATATGTGTGTTTACATGTAAAGTTTTGTCACAACCATAATGTGATTTCTTACACGAGCTTACTCTTGACATATGAAATCACTGGATTCTCCAGATTTTAGTCAAAGGTGGTTTTGTGTTTTGAAAAACACCTCAGTTTTAGTGGTTCTTTGTTCATAAATAGCTGCAGTCATTTTGCACTGTAGAATATGTGCATTGATGTGTTCTTTGGGAGCAGCATTCGTCAAAATTCATTCCTGAAGAAAGAAACAGAGATTTGGGCAGATTTAATGTCAGTATATCTGGGACTGTTTGTCAATTTATTTTTTTTTTAATCTTAATTTTCTTTCTCCATGGATTTCATTGTGTGACCTTTGGTAAGTCATTTCATCTCTTAGTGTGAGTACGCTGTTAAGATCAATATATACTGTCTAGTAATGGCTCTTCCATTGCTCACTTGAAGAAGCTTGTAAAATGTATGGATTAATCATGCTTGAACACTCGACTGATACTTTCAAGGTGGTACAGAGCAAAGCTTGTCTTTTCTATTACTGATACTTAAAAAGAATTTTAAAACTGCTTTTACTTCTCTGGGGAGTCTGGAAAGCAATGATGTCATTCAGTTATCTGGAAGATCCTAAATATACTTTCTTTTATAGGTTTATGCACAGCTTTTGTTTCCTGGTTTAGGTCTGTTGTTGTTTCAGTGGTGACTTCTTTTTAGCCAGGCCTGGCTGGATGGACACCATTTAAAGTCAGGGAGCAATGCTTTGTTTTCTTTGCCAGAGTGCATTGTGCTGGTGCTTGTGTGCCTGCAGGGTGATAGCGTTGCTTGGAGCCAGGGATTATGGCTATTTTCAGTGTGTTAATCCCAAAAGATTTGGACGACACAAGTTTTATCCTTTGTCTGAAGTTCTCAAGGAACTTCAGACAGAGAATTGGTAGTTCCAGATAGCAAACATCCTACTTTTAGTTGTACTGAAAATAATGACTGTGTACCCAGGATTCAAAAGAGATTTTCTATTTTTACTGTATTAGTTTTCTTACCACGTCACAAGTGATTGTTCTTTTGTAGGAAAGCAACACTACTCTTTGTTCAGCCATCTTCCTCCAAGGCCATCCTGTCATCCTTCACAAATTGTTAAGAAATAGAAATTGATAATTGAAGGGAGCTGCTTCTTACCATTTATTGACAAACAACTTGATGTAAATATCTTAAATTCCTTTGAGTTTTTTGCTTCTGGCTTTGCTAAGATCTGAGACTCCCCCAGAGAAATTCCTCTCAGTTACTGGGGTCTCTTCTTTAAATCTGTCTTGGAAAACTGTCATGCAGATTGAACTTCTGTCTGGATACGGCAAAATCTTGCCAATACTGTCTTTTAATTTCCTTGAGGCATTGAGGACCTTCTTGCCCTCGCTACATCTTTTTATCTTTTTTTTTCCCCTCTATCATCTGCCCTTGCCTGCTGGTCATTTTTCTCATAGTACTTAATTTTGGATAACTCTTAGGCTTTATACTCCTGAAGAATTTCTGAAAAACAGACTCACTGCAACAAAGCATTTGATTTGAGTGAGAGAATTCTCAAATTAAGGCTCATTACTGAAATGCATCTTATTTTTTTCAAGGCTTCTTGCAAGTGGTTTTGTTTTTACTACTTTATAAAGGAAAACTGGAATATGATAGACAAAGCTTTATGTCAAGATACATTTTCATTTCTGTTTAAATCTACTGCATTTCAGTTCATGGACAGAATATATTTTACATATTATGGAGCTTAAATTTTGTTGATTTCACATCCACTAGCTGTCAGAACCCTTTGAGTTCTCATAGTGATTATTTTTCTTTTGTATGAACACCATTACCTTTATGGGGGCAGGATATTTTGTTGATAGAATCTACCACATTCTCTGCTTTGGAATGTTATAAACAGTGGACCTGATTTCTCCTCAATTGCAGCAATATAGTACCACTTCATTCAGTTGAGCTCCTCCTCTCAGACTGGGATAAATCTAGGAGACTCAGACCTGAAGTCTACTTTGAATTCCATTCATGTTTCGTTAAAAGTCTCTGTTAGAAATGATACACCAAATCATCTGTTTCCAACTTGACGTATATTTGTTAAGTCAAAAATTGATCCCAATTTTGTGTGTAACATTTCATATACGTTTCGTCTTTAGTATGCTGGATTATGACACGGAGAACCTAAATTCTGATGAAATCTACAGCTCTCTTCGTGGAGTCACAGAAGCAATTGAAAAGTTTAGTTTTCGTAGTCAAGAGGACCTGAATGAGCCAATCAAACGTGATGGGAAGAAAGACTGTGACATGGTAAGTGTTTGGTTTGATTAATACTTGGAGATATGTGAAATTTTTATGGTTTTCAAGCCTGGCTTTGGAATGTTAACTAGCGTACAAAATCCAGTTGCTCTTGGTAGCTGGATTTTTCCTGTAACTCTTTTATTCTCAATTGTTTCTAACACTTCAACATTTGAACCTCTCACAACAAGAAAGACACTGAGGTCCTAGAGGTTGTTGTGACATGTGAGATGCCATTTGTTTTAATTAAGCATGTGAAATTCAAAATCTGTGAATTAAGCAGTATTTTTGTTTCCTGTGTGGATAAACAAGTGTAGACTGTTAGTCTCAGAAGCTAGAATTCTTGGTAATCTGATGTTTTTCTTTGGGACTCTGCTGTTATCTATTTCACATTAGTGTTCTAAGCATCATTTGTGAGAACGATGTTACTTTTCTTTCCTTCCTTTGACTTATTAGCAGATTGGTCCTGTTCCTTGTTTGATTTTTTTCCTAGCCTTTGCAGCTTTAGAAATATTTCTGTTTAGAAATGTTAGCATAGCTTTTTGCCCTATGATCATGAGATACTTTTGTTACCTAAATTAAGAGGCGGTATTATGTGTATATAGAGAATTCTACACAAAATTAATGAATGTGATCCTGTTGATGAGTGAACTCAAACTCTGTGGAAGTTGTAGCCTTTTAGTGGTCTTATGCCTTTTCTGTATTTGATCTCCAGGTGTCTCGAGATGGTGGCCTTGCAGTACCTACCAGTGATGTCCGAGGAGGCAGTGATACTGTAGAAGGAGGAAGGATGGCTCTAGATAACAAAACCTCCTTACTTAACACACAGCCACCCCGCGCCTTTTCAGGGCCACGAGCTCGAGAGTATAACCCCTATCCTTATTCCGACACAATTAACACTTATGACAAGACTGCCCTCAAGGAAGCAGTTTTTGATGATGACATGGATCAGCTTCGGGATGGTTTGTATTAGCGTATCTTTAAAAATTGTTGGCAACTTGTTCTGTTCCTGATATATTTGTATTTGTGCAGTACTGAGATACATGCCTGTCCACGTATATGTTGTGTATTACTTTGCAAGTGAGTCAAGGCTTGGCATGAAATATTTTCTGTTCTGATGTGTGATATGAGAACTTGATTTATGGATATGGAGAGAAGGCTCTGCTGCAATTTTAATTTTTTTTTGTTATTGTTCTCTCTTACTTTCTCCTTTGGAGTTTTCCTCAAACTAGTCCCTTAAAGTCTAAATTAAATATATCTTCAAGGGAGATTTATTTAAGGACGTTCTACTCTAAAACCTAAATGACTCATTAGCTTGTTATTGAGTATTTCACTTCATTTAAACGATGCTGCACCCCTTAGTTTATTCCTTTGCACTATATTGATGACTCACAGTACTTTGATCTAAAAGTTACGCATGTGATTGCTAGTTTTGGGTGTGTGTCTGGGACAAACTGGTGATTCTCCTCTTGTACAAGTAATTATTGGAATTGGATAAAATCCAATCGTCATCTCTTCTTTGTTTGTTAGAAGCCATGTGCAGATTCATGAGCAGCATTAGAAACTTAGGTGAAATTAGGGCTATTCTGATCCTCTTTCCCTCTTGACAGAGTCCACTTGGGATTTGATGCCTTTTTGGGAGTGGTCTTTTTTTTTCTGTGCACTTGTTCTATGGAAGGTTTGTAATATGGACATATTTGACCTTTTCCCCCATTTCCCCAAGTGACTCGCTTCCATTTGTCCTAGAAGTACCCATTGACCATTCAGATTTGGTGGCTGACCTTCTGAAAGAGCTCTCTAATCACAATGAGCGGGTGGAGGAGCGGAAAGGAGCTCTCCTGGAGCTGCTGAAAATCACAAGGGAGGATAATCTTGGAGTTTGGGAGGAACATTTCAAAACCATTCTGCTCTTGCTCCTGGAAACACTTGGAGACAAAGATGTGAGATATAGATTTTTCTTAACTCTCCTGTAGCATTGCTTTATTTAGGGTGATAGGTTCTGCAAATTAATTCAACTGAAATTTGTTACATTTCTATGGCATCTCATCAGTGATGCTGCAGTGCTGTTTTCTTTTTTTCTGTTAAGGTTATTGATTCTGCTTTCATTATTAATGTACTCCATGACAAATTTCAAGGTTCTCTGTAGTGTCTGTTCTCCGCTCCCATCTGAGTGTCTAGTAACAACTAGGAAATTGAACTAGAATCAGAAATAAAGTTATTTTCTAAGGCAGTCTGTATGGCTGATATTTCCTCACAATCATTTTTCTTAGAATCAACATGAGTTTTGGTAGTCCTACATGTTTAATCATAGCATCATCATGTATGTAGGAAGATTTGGTGACTTTAAGTACAAGTAAGTTTGCTAATCTGTGAGTTTTGCAGATGGATAACAAATTGCATAATTTGAAGGCTGAGTATAGAGTAAAGTATTCCTCTGCTGAAATGATAGATCTGTTTGGAATGGCCACTGGCCAAAAACTTAATGTAACAGTTGTGTAAGTAAAGCAGGTGTTATAAATCCCTTCTCCTAAGGATCTTTTGATATATAAAGGATTAACGCACAGGTCAGTAGTGACTACAAAAATTGACTGTTCTTGAAAGTAATTTCCAGAGGTGCTGCAGTAAATCAATGCTGCTTCTTAATAGTACATGAGAAACAGCTTTTGCATGAATGGAGCTCAATCTGATATCTGCAGAGCTAAGCAGAATGGGAAGAACAAATCAAATACAATCTGAATGTCTTTGTAATTTTGTGTAATGCAGTTATGCTGTTTTGGTTATGAATTTATACTTAATTGCCAGAAGAGTATGGAATTTAAAAATGTAGAATCATTCCGATTCTGTCAGTAGGAACAGTCATTTTATATAAATGTTTCTGCAACAGAAAGCAAGCAGACCAATTCTTGTTTTCAGCTATTGATCACACTGCTTGATCCACTGGAGCTGGTAGAGCTACGTAAGATTTCTACTGCTTAGGGAGCCATGAGAATTTGCTTCACAGTGCAATTTTGTTGAGAAATTACATTCTCTAACATCAATTTCTCTTGACACAGCACTCAATACGAGCATTGGCACTGCGAGTCCTTAGAGAAATCCTACGGAATCAGCCAGCAAGGTTCAAAAACTACGCAGAGTTGACCATCATGAAGACACTGGAAGCACACAAGGATTCCCACAAGGAGGTGAGTGAGCCTTTTGGCACTGCTACTGGGAAAATAATATTGAAGAAATGTGAGATTTAACAAACAAGCATGCTGACCCATCTTGACAGTAGAAAAGAACAATATGAAATCACCTAAGTGCTGAAGATGTATACTTGCTGAAGCAAGAAGAAAAATGTTGAGACCAACAGACTCATTTTTAGTGTATTTGGAACTATCTGGAGTTGTAGGCCGTCTATTGGTTTTCCAGGGCTTGGTTGGTTGCTCTGGGAGAGGGAGGAGGGTGCATTTTTCTTAATTTATTGGAGCTCATTAAGGGCACTGTGGTCCCTCAATCTGCGCAGGGAAGGTTGGGAAATGTATTGAAGAACACTAAGGCTGTACTCCAGCAGAGCTGTGTGAAAATTATGAACTTGAGCCACATTTGAGAGTTTGAACTGTGGAATAACAGATGAAAATGGACAAAGAAGGCATGCTGCTAGAAAGAAGCTGAGGCAGTGAGGAGGAAGCCAAGGGAAGAGTGAAATGCATTTTCCTATTGCGAGAGAACTCATGCAAAATTAAAAGTATTCTGGTCTAAAAAATACAGGGACGTGATGGTTATATTGGAAGTAGATCAAAGTACATTAAAGGTCAGTCTTTGCAAATTGGCTTCCAAGATAGATCTTCTTTTCTATCTTACACGTGTTGCAAGTTTGAACCTGAAAAACAGCACATGAATTTCTGTCCATTTCTGCAATGACTTATTTACCAAACTTCTTCCTTTGAAATTTAAAGCTCTTCATCTTCCCTGCAAAAGGCTTGCCCTAAACTAGCAATGCTAAGTATCTCTGTTTTTGGCCATGGAAAAGATCACTGTATAGATCAGGCTGCTTCCAGATCATTGCATAACTGACACAATGCTGCATTAGGTGTGCATAGCAAAACTGTACTGTTTAAAAATCAAAACAAAACCAAATACACCCCCACAGGGAAGAAGGGACCTAACAGGCTGGATATCCCTTAAATACAAAGGCAGAAAATGTTTAATCCTTTAGTGAATGAAGACTGCCACAATCTGCCTGTCCTCCTCGATGCAGAGCTTTTACCCTTCTGTCGTTCTCAGTTCAGAGTAATAAGAAGCAGTTGTAAATTGATTTCCTGATAAAATAGTCAGACAAAACATTGTGTTCTGAAGGAGTGCCTTTTATTGGCAAGTTTTCCTGGTTACATACTTCTCATCTCACCTTGACTCAGTGCCCTTTTTTTTCCCCACAGAATCTTCCAAACTTACAGCACCTTTCAGATGGTCTCTGATGTTTTTTAATGTCCTTCAGAGCTCTCTGTCCTTGTATGACTGACAGTTTTTACTGAAATCAGGTGTAATGTTGACAGCATAACTTTTCATGTCTCTGTACTCCCCCACACAATGTACTTCATGTTTGTAGTATGGACAGGTTTTTTTTTAAGATTTGCATGTGAGATGCCTTCTGAGGAAGAGCAGAGAAGGATCAGCTTTTGTAACAGAAAGTAAAACTCAAGCCAGGAATGAAGAGTCATGAGTTCTGGCACTTCTTTATAGAAGAGTAAGTGTGAGCTGTATTGATCTCAGCAAGTAGCTGCTGTTCTGCACATAGCATTCCTTTGATTTTTTTTTTTTTTTTTCCCCAGTGGTTTTGCATAGCACTGTTATCATTAAAAAAGATCACATTTACAACTGCTCCAGTGAGACCTTTGGGTTATGGCTGTCATAGCAGGACACTGCAGGTGTAGTTCCATTTTTCTATCTCTAAGCAGTTGTTTGTACAGCTGTATTAAGTACTGGTACTGGTGGTGTAATAGGAGAGAACAGCCCAAAGAACGGGTGTTTGGTGTTATCTGGCATGTGCTGATATTAAAAAATAAAAAAAAAAAACACTCTAGAAATAAACCAAGTACATGATATTTGTATCCCACCCACTTTATCCACTGAGTTTGAGGATGTTGCCATTGTAACATAGTATTTTTAAGTCTATGTATGTCTATTTTCTCATCCCTGTGTAAATGGGGTTCTCAGAGCCAAAATGGAACTCATGAAAACTGGCATTTCTCTGTCAGTTTCAGGACATCAGCATTCATGAAGTTAAGAAAAGTTTCTCAGTCTTCTCTTGTGTGTCTACACGAACATACACCTGTGAAAATGCTGTAGGTATTTTTTACCTGTAGCTGGGATTTGTTGATTCCATTATGTCTGTTAAAAACAAACAAACAAAAAAACTGAGTCCATTTGGGTATGGCTCAGTTGGTCAAACTCATAGCCCTGGGCCAGAATGTCACAGATTCCCACCCAACAGAGGCTCTCCAGCTCCCACTCAGTGCTGACTTTGCAGCACTGCTATCTCCTGGGCTTGTGGAGGAGCTGCCTCTTTTGACTTGATCCCACTCAGTGAGAGACTAAGTGAAAATTCACCAGTTTGGAAGGCTTTTAGAATAGCTGAAGAAAGAATGGAAAGATCTTAGTCATCTGTCTTATAGTTTTACTTTTCACTGAAACTGAGCGATACTAAGAGCAGTGGATATACTCTCCTTAGACTACATAAAATAAAATCTTCATACTGTAAAAATGATTTGGAGGAAAGCTGCTATATAGTAAAGTTAGGAAAGTGCTAATTCCTGAGCAATGTAATGCCCTGACAGGAGGTCTCACTAGGGTTTGTTTCTGCCTTTGCATTAGAAAACAAAACTGGTTTGTGGTTTGAAATCATTTCAGACAGGCTGCATGAATCAGCAGAAAATTACTGTTTGGAGAGATCTGTACCTACTTCACTTTTGCTTACCTGAGTTTCCCCTTCAGCACAGGAACTGTTAATTGCCTGTATGTTATTGCTGCCATTTTCTGTAATGTTTGGGTAATGGGCAATCAGTGTAAAATGACCAAGCAAAGAAAGAGGAGTTTGGAAAGGAGCACAGTGCAGGGCCATTAACCTCAGATGGCTCCAAGAAGTCATTGCACTTAGAGGCAGTTCTTTGAAAATCAGTAAGAAAGTTAATTTGACTTCACAAATGCAATACTACTTGTGTTCAGCATGGCTATCATCACTTTCAGAACCCAACAGGCACCTAGGGAACCTGCTTTAGCTGGGGATTTGGACATAAATGATCTCCATAGGACCCTTTCAGCCCCTACAATCCTGTGAAATACCGTATCTTCCTCCATTTGAGTGCCAGTATCTAGCTAAAAAAGTGTCTGAAACAAAAGGGGCTGTGGTTTTATTACAGCTGGAAGCATCGATGTTATGTTAGCATGGTTGGATGTATTTGGATGCCTGAATGTGTTTTTGCCAAATCAAGCTGAAGCCTTTCAATGCTTGAATCTTTGCTGTGGCGAGAACTCTTTGGCCTTCTGTTGTTGAAGGCAAAGTGTAGCATCAATGAAGCAGCACAAGTAAGGGACACCAGAGAAGAAAATTTGGTATGAGGAGTGGATGCTGAGAGTTGTTGTGTGGGTGCAAGTAAAAATCAGCAAAGCACTGACCTCGGTGCAGGTCCAAAATTAACATAACCCTGGGCTACAGACTAGGAGACTCTGACTTGGGATTCATGTTTAGTTTGCACTTTTTAATGCTAGCCTCTTTTTACTCTGTTTGTTGTATAATAGTCTGCACAGTACTGTTAATTAAATGGGATGATGAGAAAAGTCAAGCCTGCTTCAGTCAGAACTGTAAATATTTATGGGAGTTGACATGTAAATGCCTTTCACTTACTTTTAGAGCATTAGAATGTAATTGAAGTTGTGGATGGTATTAAATCTTGTTGATTTTTATCACTCTTTGTTTGGAGTTACTTGGAAAAGAGCTGTCTTTCTGTTGCCAATTGGTTAATATTAACTCATTTGTTCCAGTGTACTTACTCACCCATAGCTAAGGAGAGATGCTGTGTGCTGACCCAGTACCATTGATATGACATTGCTACAGATTCATAGCAGCAAAATGAGCATAAGTTCTTATTCTTTACTATAGTAAAGTAGAAATCTTGTGAAAATGTTAAGGAACATCTTCACCATTGCTAATCATTGGACAGCTCATGCTTTGCTTTGTTTCTGCTGCTCTCTTTTTCTCTGCAGCAAAACCTGTAGACATAGCTGGTTGGTACTTTCTCAGTTTAAGGAAAAGACTTTGAGCCATGTATGAGGTACCTAACTTTGGTCTTTTACTATCCAGGAAATCCACAGGCATAATTAGGATGTAACACTCCTTGTTGTAATGATCCAAAGGAAGGTGAAAAGAGCAAACCACGGCTATCCATTAACTTTAATTGTTACTGGCTTGAGGTGCTTTTAGACTGACCCTTGACATTTATAAGATTATTTGCAAATGTCCTCCAATGATGATACACTCTGTGTCACTTTCAGTACAACATAGCCTACTAGAGAAAAATGCTAAGTGATCAGTCTTTAAGGTTAGTTAACTGGTAGCCCGTGCTGGAAGCTGCCGAGCACTGCAGTTTGGCAGTTGATGTTTTATTGTATACGTTTCTGTGCTTCCTCTAATTCCCGACACGTGAAATATTTAGCACCCAGGAGAAGCAATCTAATCTACTTCACCTCCTCTCAATCCCTTAATTTTTTTCATCTGCTTAGCGCTCCCCATTGCTGAGTCCACTTCCTGCTTTGAAACTCAGTGCTTAATTGTTTGTTCCTGTCTGGATTAGACTGTATACCCTTCAGGGATGGGAGTTTGCCTGGCTAGGCAGCGGTAAGCCTCCATTCCCTCCAAGTTACATTGTGCAGGCTTTAAGTAACCACCTCTAAATGCCAAAAGTTGGTTCTAAAAACAAAGTTGTGTGCCTTGTAAGCCCAAAAGCAAAACCTTGTTTTTCTGCCTAGTAAACTTCTGGTGCTTTACTTGTTTCACAGTGGAGTAAAAAGCCTCTTAAGGTTTTTGAGTGTTTTGTCTTTTTCTCTTAAAAACAACAACAAAAACATGCACTCCTTAATTCCGTGTGTTTTATAGAGGTGGTGCAGCTAGCATTTGTACTCCAGCTTGCAGTGTAATATGTACTCCCATACAACTCTCATCTAGGTATACGGGTGCTGCTCTACTCAGATTACGTGTTACACTGATGCCCTGCATAGCCTATGAAGCGGGCATGTTATTTGTTCAATGAGCCCACTAGGAAACAGCTTATGTTATGCCAGCAGAAGTGAGGCTCAATCTAGTCTCTAGTGTGTAGAGCAAAAGGTAAGCCTTTGGAAAGGAGAAAAACCTGCTTCTTTAAGGCAAAGTGCTATCGTTTAGATCTGCATTCCTGGTCTACCTGCCTTGTGTTGAATGGCATCAAACTATCCAGTTCCAGACATGGTTTGCTTTAAGCTTTTACTAGAGGTAAAGTCATGTTTGTGACATACCTTACACACAGCTTAGTGTCAGTATTTTTAAAGCACTTCAGGCTGTCCCTGGTCTTACAGATCTTGCGTCATAGGCACCCTTTTGAACTTCTTTCTTCCAGCTGTTATCATCATTTGAACACTCTAGTAGTTTTCTTCTGTGTTTTTGAAATAATTGAACATAATTGCATTAGGTTAGACAAAAACTCTGCTCCATATCCTACTTTAGACAGTGACTAGCAAGCATGCAGTGATTTTTCATCAAAGATTTCCTCCCTCCCTATCACAGAATCACAAAATGGCCAGAGTTGGAAGGGATCTCAGGGATCATGAATCTCCAACCCCCCTGGCCCAAGCTGAAAGTTCTGTCTGCTTACCTTTAATGGCTCTTCAGTGACCTTATATATTTTTTTTAATCTATTGTCTGCATCCTTCTATGACAGTGAGCTCCTCAATCTGAGCATGTAGTGAACAGCACTTTTTTTTCCCCACATTTAAAGAGTGTGCATTTTATGGATATAGTGATTGTGGTTTCTGCTGGTAGCTTGAACCTAGTGGGTCCATTCCTATTGCTTCCCCAGTGTCTTATCTTCCAATCTTCCCCCCAAAGATGGGAAGAGCTGTTGTTTGATGTTTGCCTCATTTCTTCCACTCTTTTTTAAGTTTGTTTTACTCTGGTCAGATTAAAACCCTGATTTAAAAAGATATTTGACTTTTTATATTGTATGTTATGTATAATTTGCAAGACATGGTTGTTATGCCTCACGGCAAAATATCTTCACTAAACTCAGCTATAATTGCATATCCTCGATGCCAAACAACCTGGCAGTTCATAGCTTTTGATAATGCGTTTCCCTCACTGCAGGAATGTTGCTGCCTTTCTTTGGCATTACTGGGGATGCAACTCTGGCAGGGCTGTGCAAGTATTCAGAGATAAGCTTTCCCTCATGGGTTGCACAGTTGGTCCGGATGGCTAAATGCTTTACTCTGTCAAAGCCAGAATCGAAGACCTTCAGGGCAGGACTGCTATTTGCATTGCAGAGTGGTGGCATTTGGGCTTTCTATGTCAGTGGAGATGGAGGAAAGGGCTTGTCCTCTGGGTTCTCCCACAGCTGGTACTGCCCTGCACCTTCATCTGCACCCTGTTTCCTGCTGTTCCTTTGCATGGCAGCTAGTTACCTGCAGAGCCTCTGAATCAAGCAAGCATGTAAGCACACGCTTGAGTCCCATTGACGTCAGTAAGATTCAAGCATGTTATTAAAGCCAAATATACGCTTAAGGGGGATGCTGAAGTGTGGCTTGGATGCAGATGCTGTCTGCCAGATGTGCTCTTGAAAGACTTGGAAATGTCTCTGGTGTTGTCACGTTTACAAGCTAGTATCAGCAGGAAGCCTTCTGGACATGAGTAATTTGCCCTTCTGTATTCAAAGGATGCGCACTGCATGGAGAAGTGATGTGAAATACCCAACTGCTGTGCAAATACAGCCAGATGCGTGCTAGAAATGGCCAGCTTTGTTGAAAGGAGGACTTGCGAAGGTGCAAGACTACTTATGTCTATACAGTTTTTCTAACCTACCCTATGATGTGCAAAATACATGGGACCTTCTTTGTACTTTTGACTCCTGGCTCATTTTGCAAAGAATTGCAGCTGTATTTCAAGCCTTGGTGCTTGAAATAGTAATAAAATTAAAACAAAGGTTTTTGTCTCAAGCACTCTCCTCATAACTGTGCCAGTAGTTGTAGAGCTCTGTCTCAGAGTTACTCACTGAAATTTTTACCTAATCCAAATTTACTGAAGTGTATTAGATGAAGTCCGTCTGTAAGTACATACTAAGATGCTATTACTTGTAAAATCACAGAATCACAGAATGGCCAGGGTTGGTAGGGACCTCAAGGATCATGAATCTCCAACCCCTTGCCACATGCAGGGCCACCAACCTCCACATTTGGTACTAGATCAGGCTGTCCAGGGCCCCATCCAATCTGGCCTTGAACACCTCCAGGGATGGGGTATCCACAACCTCTCTGGACCCACAAGGATAAAAAAAAAAAAAAAAAAAAAAAAAAAAATAATAAAAAAAAGTTTTTTTTTAGTAATTTGTGATAATGTGTGTAATGTACGTCTAAGTTTTCCTTTTACAAAAAGCATTTGGAGTTGCTAAAAGGCAAAATTCCAAGTGGTCAGTGTCTGGTCAGTTACAAAGCTTTTAATAAATATATATCTGTATGTTTATTTAGCTAAAATGACTTGCCTGTGAATGTTGTTGGGCTGATTATGAGGTATTCATACCCTCTGTAATTGCACTGTTATTTGTAGAGAGCTTGGTGTCAGCAGTATTTCAGTGCTAGGAGAGACATCATCAAAAGTTGCAGTGCCAAGAAGTGAATTTCTTTGAAGAAACCTTCTTACATTCCACAGGGACCTTTTGAGAGCCCCTGACTGCAGCCATTCTAGCAATTCAGTGCCACAGTACCAAACCTTGGCATTAGGTTTCCTTGAGTATTTGGGTATTTCTCTCTTCCACTCCCTCTCAAAAAATAGTACTTCCTCCTAAGCTAGCTAGCATGGAAAAATGTTAACTTTCATGCTTCTCATGTGTGAAATTGAAAAGGGAATTAGCAAAGAAATATCTGGAAGAGCTAAACAAGCATTCTGTTCTGCTTGGTTACTCATTCACAGATCTTGCAGGATGAAATCTTTTGAATGCTGACCACGTTGTGGATTGCCATTTTTGGAATGTGTTTTAACACTGTTTAATTGCTGAGAAAGGCCTGAGATAGATGAGTGTGTGGACAACTTCAGCAATCAGAGTCTCAGATTGGCTCCTGCCTGTGCCTTGCCTAAATACAATGTTTGTACCACATGAACCATCTAAAATCACTTTTATTGTTGGATGTTCCACAGGTGCACAAGTAACCTTTGGCCATACCTGTTTCAGGGAGGCAGCTGTCAACACGAGTAGAGGATCAGTCACTGTGTTGTAGCCATGATGATTTAAGGCTGTGGGTGAAGCAGGTTTTGTAGACGGGGATAATCTCTCTGTTACATCAGTAGTCTATCTGAGCTGGTCATTCTTCATTGCTTCTGTCTTAAAATCAATTAGTCCTTTCTGGAAAATGTTTTGTAGTCCAGGTAGAGAGAGATTGTTGTCCTAGTGAGGACTAGGATAAACTTCCAAATACTCCTGCTACATACGTTATCCACATTAGTTCCTTTCAAAAGTTCATCTTTTGGGGCTTTGATAGAGCTGTATTTGTTTATGAGTTGCCTGAGTCAAAGAGAAACCCCCAAGTTTGATTCCATTTTGTGTGGAAGAAGGGATTGAAGAGAATTCAGTAGTCACGGCTTCAGTCTAAGTGATTGACCTGTGGCTTCACTTGTTTTGGTGTCTTTTTTTTTTTCCTTATTGTCTGGGACACATTTTCCTTGAGTTTGTTGCCTGGCAATTGGCACATGCACTTGAAGAAAGAAAACTTGCTTCCCATCCTGTGATTTTTATTTTTTTTTTAATCCAATGACTGCAGAATGTAAAATAAACTCTCATAGGAGAAGAAAATCAGGTCCTTCCTCTTTCATCTAACTGTCCTATCCACTGGGGAACAGTGTGGAATCTGTGGATTTGCCTTTTCTGGGTGAAGGGTAGTACTGAGTTTAGGACCTCCCTCATCCTGTGTGTCTGCTTTACAGTGTGAAGCAGCTACTAAAGGTGGGTGCTGCCACTGTTTCCACTTGTCCTTCCTCTCATGTTTTATAGTGTCTCAGCACTGCCTTCATGTATTAAATATGCTCAGAGCACTGTTGCCTGGTTATAGATTATCCTGAATCTTGCTTGGCTCCATGGCCTGGATTTGAGCACAGCAGTGCTTAGCTGGGACTTGGCAGGACACACGTGTGCAGGCAGGTTTTCTCAGCTTGGACACCCAAGCATTCAGCAAGGCAGATGCATATTAAAAAGCACAACATCACTCATTGTAGTATTAAGCAATTGTATTTCGTATTAAGTTTAAGTTGATGGGTTTATGTTCCCTGACAGTGGCTAGAGTGCTGACCTAACAGGGCAGCAGTGCCTGTCTTTCTTGGGTGGTGGATGACTCTCAAACTTTGACATGGTTACTTCAGGCAGGAGGAACTGTGTAACACTGTCTGGCTGGAACAAACATGTCTCTGGAGGTAAAGAACGTGAATTCTTATACTTGATCTCCTCTCAGACAAGCCTCTTGCTGTTTTATTAATAAACATCCCCAAGTATTTCCTGGCATTCATTCCTAATATGCACAGGTGTTTTTTGCTGTGCAGCCTCATTAATGCAAGGTTTTGCTCTGCTTTCCTTTCAGGTCGTCAGAGCTGCTGAGGAAGCTGCTTCTACCCTGGCAAGCTCCATCCATCCTGAGCAATGCATCAAGGTGCTTTGCCCCATCATTCAGACAGCAGATTATCCAATTAATTTAGCTGCCATCAAGATGCAGACAAAGGTCATTGAGAGGATTTCCAAGGAATCACTGCATCAACTCCTTCCTGATATTATTCCTGGATTGTTACAGGTATAGAATCTCACATCACAAATGCTCATTGAGCACAAACGAACACTGAGATGTTCTGCACTTTGAGTGTACTTTGCTCATGAATTTGGAGCACAGCAGGACAGATAGGGAGGACTATTTTCTCTCTGAAATTAAGACTAAATGCTCAGTCTTCAGTCTCTTTCATAACCCTGGGTGGGGAGCTGTGTTTTTGCCAGCACTAAGGCTTGATCTTACATTGTGAATTTATCTTTCAGTGCTGGCTGTAGTGGGGTTGTATTCAGTCCCCTTGCACAAGCAGCTGGCAGGACTAAGCTTTTGGAGTGAGACAAAGCATGGTGAAAATAACAAAGGAGTGAACCAGTGTGTTTACTGGGGGGGGGGGGGGAGGATTGTGGCAAGAACAAATTGGTCCTTGTGAAAGAGTTCATACCTGTAGGCGAGTAAAACTTCAGTGGAGAATTAGGATAAAGAAGCATCCTTTTTGTGAGCATAAAGAGCAGAAGGACAAGGGCAAAGTCAGGATTTTCCCCGATGCATCCTAGTGTTTGTCCCAGCTTTGTCACATAAGCTTTTGCAGTTCTTTTCTTAAACTCTGGGAATCAGGCAATTCTGTATTGATGTGAACTTTTGTTTTAAGAAGTTTTTAGCCATTGTTGTTGGTGAGAACAACCTAGACAAGGGAGCTTCAATGCAGTGGAAGTGCTTGGGAACATCATGCCTTTAAAAGCACAAAAAGATATATTTGCTTTATTAAATGGCTTCCATGTCTTTGTGATTTTTCACCTTGGAGCTGCCAGTGTTATTTCCTTGAATGAGGAATCATAATGATCAAAGGAATCTACTTCTCATATTTAGAAAGTATGTAGGGATATGCACTGTGGCTGTTTATCTTGGTGAGGGTAACAGCAGTGGTGAACAGGCAAGGTGTGTCTAACAGTGCTTATGTGAATACAAGTGTACAGCTCAGCACCCCACAGCAGGATGCCCATGGCCCATGTGAACAGATAGGGATCTCAGTACATAAAACAGTCTTGGCTGTGCTTCTGTCGAGCACCTGGGTTTGGGTGCAAATTGCAGTGCAGAGCTCTTAGAGGGGTTTGGTGGGGAGTGATTGCAGTTCCTCAGTCTCAGTTGTTGTTCTTTTGGGTCCCACGCTGCAGGGGGAGCAGCCCATAGGCATCTCCTACTGGTGAGAGACAAAGCCCAACCTGGCAGGCCCTCGTAGGCATGGAGATGGGTGTAGCTGTCACAGTGATCTGAGGCTGGCAGAGTCACAGCACTCCTGCTCCTTCCACAGAGACATGCCCTAGCCACATACCAGACTGCTGTGGGATGAGGCACTGTCCGCATCTCCTGTTGAAGCAGGCCCTGATTGTTTAGAGAAAGGAATGCACCGTTAATGGAGGAGAGCAAGAAGAGGCCTGGCTGTGTTAGCGGTGGTTAGGCTGCCTGGTGAGGGTAAAGATGGGACACTGATATGCCTGCAGTAGAGGCCTTGCTGTGCTGTAGAAAATGAGGCATCCCAACAAATAGCTGGTGTGCTGACAAAGATAGTTTTTGTGTGTGACTCTGGCCTTTAACTTCACAGCTGCATCCAGACCAACTCCTGCTCTTTGGGATGTAGTGCTCTTTGAGTTTGCAGGCTGTAATGTCAGACTGCATTTTGGCCTTGCAGCTAGAACATTAGCCCTGCTAGTGGGCAGCCCCAGCCCTGTAGCATCACTCCTCATGGCTTTCCCAGCAAAAGAATAATCCATAATGATGATGACTTCTGCAATTTTGAATGCTTGAGTACAGTTATTCTATCCAAATGCTTATCTGGATAGAACATCTATTCACCAAACAATGTTTTGTTTTTCATATTCTAAATGATATAATCATTAGGCCATTTTGCTGAAGATTTCATCTGTCTTTTGCTCACCTATTTCCTTTAGGTGGTTGGGTTTGGGTCAGGAAAGACTTACCTGTGGGCACACTCAGAGCACTGTGTCCAAGATGTCCTGATGATCACATATGGCATAAGGTCATCTGAACTGGACACGGGAATGTGCGTAACTGATAGAATCCACCTGATTGGAAACTGTTCTTCCTTAATGACATAAAACCTAAGACATTAATAACTTATAAATTCATAGCCTAATATGAGGACATTACAGAAAGGATATTATATAGAATAAATAGAACGTGCTGGATATGCTGTATTCTCTTGCTCTTTGAGTGTTCATATTGCCAGAGCCTTTCTATTAATCTGGTAGCCTAAACTACTCTTCAGTGTATTGATTGGTAAGGATGTTGGTGTGTGCTGTTTGTGACCCTTTTTTCTTGTTTCCTAGGGTTATGATAATACAGAGAGCAGTGTCCGTAAAGCTAGTGTATTTTGTCTGGTGGCAATTTATTCAGTAATTGGTGAAGAACTGAAACCTCATCTCGCACAACTCACAGGAAGCAAGGTATGGGAGTATAATGCCTTTGGTATTATGACAACAGCCAGTGCGTTCATGCTAGCTCTGGGTCAAATTCCCTGTACTGTGTTAAACCCTAATGTGTTAGACTAACTGGTCCTGCCAACACCACTAGAGCAACAGATCTTGCCCAGCAGTGTGAACATTTCGGATCCTGCAGAGCAGTTTTTGAAGGGGATTCAGGGATTGGTTTCTTGATGCATTTGATCCTGTGCAACTGCAAGCTGCTACTGAGCTGGTCATTCCCATGACAGTCATGCTTTCCTTAGCTCTTCTGCATTGCATCGTTAGGTGAAAATGCAGTCAGTTGCATCAGCTGGCTTCACTTGTTAAAAAAAACAAATCTGGAATATTAAATTGTTTGTAGCTCACTCTATGGCTTGACAGTTAATCTAATGTGAAGAGTGGTGAGAATGCATGGTTGGGATGGGTGGGAGAGCAAGACTGCTCCTTTCAGCAGCAGGTCATAATTAGGGCTGGTAGAAAAGCAGGTGGAGCTTTGCTCTTAATAGCATTGCAGATGTGTCCTTTTCTTCTTGGACACCAGCAAATTTGAATGACTTTTCGAATGCTTTTCTACCCATGTTTATGTTAGAAGCAAAACTTGAATTCTGACCTGATGCTGCAGATGAAGTCAGACTTCAGTTCAGCTCTGTCCTTCAGACAAAAGCTGGCATTCAGGAAGCTGTCACAAGGCTTCTCCCGATTGAAGTCATAATACCTGAGATTTCTTTGCCATTTTAAGATCAATTCTGCATTGTTGTCTCTGAATGTGAAAAGCTACTTAGTTCAGAGGGCTTCGTCTGGATGTTTTGAACCAGTGGTTTCTTTAATGGGTAGGAAGCGTGGTTTAGGCTGAAACAGAACTGAGATTTAAGACACTTGGACTTTATTTCTGGGTTGTGTCCTTAAGTTACTTTCACCTCCCATTTGCTTTGGAAAAAGAGCTGTGGATGCTGAGACTTACCTCATTTATGTTTAGGCGGTTGGGAGATTCCTCTATAAAACGTTGTAGGGGCTTTATAATCCCAATATCCTGGGTGCCATGGATATATTCCACCACATAACTAACTGTAAACATGTGAGTAATTCTTCCGAGTTTATGCAGGCTGCCTACGTGTTTAAAGTTAAATACGTGCGTGAGTCATTATTTCAGGATCTGGGCCTAAGGTGGTAAGGCAGAATAAGAAAGCAACCCCTTGCAAAGGAAGTGCATAGTCATAACAGCTGCAGTTTCACTAGAGGAACCAAGTAGTGAAGATACTTAAATATCATTAAAAATGAATGCTTTGTGAAAAACAAAGCCCATCTCGCCTCTCTTCTCCAAGCATAGTGAGTTCAGGCTGTTTCCTAGGAGGGACCACAGCTCTTGGATTACTGCAGTGTGAGCGAATTCGTACCTGTCTGCAGCCCCACTGACCTTTGTGGGAATCCTGCTCACCAAGAACAATCTGCAGAGCTGAGGGCTGTGAATTGATGACTGCTGAAGTGAAACACAACTGTTTTTTTACATACAGTTTAAATACTATTAAATTAAAACTCAGTGGGACCAGGCTTCCTCTCCTGGTTCTGCATGTTCTGAAATGCCTGGTGCTAACTTGCTCTTACAGTGCTCACTGAATCTGTAATTAAGACTCGCAGTCGGTTTTTGTCCATCTGTTTTTCCTGGCATCTTCTCCTGATGTTTGTTGTTTCTTTCAGATGAAGCTACTAAACTTGTACATAAAGAGGGCCCAAACTACCAACAGCAACAGCAGCTCCTCTTCAGATGTTTCAACGCACAGTTAATGGAGATATGTGGACATATGTGTAGACTTAGAAGCAATCAACGGTGCCTCTCAGAGACCTTTCTGCTACTCTTCACTGGCGCACTTCATCAGCTAAAGGAGGCCATGCAGATATTTATTGCAATCAGTATTCTAGTCCCTTAAAGCTTTCATGTAAAACCTTACTGGTATTGAATGTAAAGGAAGCAAGGTCTGTGTTGCAGTCTTCATTAAAAATGAACAACAGAAAGCCATACTTAAACATATTGTATAGCCTGCTGAAATCTTGGAAATATGTTTAGGTTAGCATTCCAAAAGAGTCAAAAAACCTGGATACGCGTAAAAGTTAAACAAATCTTGGTTTAGTTCATACCCAGTTTTGGTTTCTGTGCGCTAGTTACTGCTCTTTCCCTGTGGCCGCAGCCTTTCTGGCTAGGATCTCCTCTTACAAGTCCTGTGGTCCTGTTTTGTACTTCCTATCGCAGCTTGCCTAATGTGCAGGGTTCTCTACGAGGAGATCTTTGCTGATGTGGCTGTGGTTCCAGCCTCTAATGCTTTAATACTGAGATATCAAGTGAGTAATGAAAAAGTAGGTTCTTTTTAAATATCTGAGTTTTCTGTATATAGTTCTTCTGACAGACCTCTGATGGCTGATCTCTCTAACTGCTCTCCAGCCAGCTGTGCTTTGTAGAGCAACTGGGCTCTCGCTACCTTCGTTGACTGTAAATATTTCCCCTCTTCCAACCCATTTGGCTCTTTCATGTGCTCGAGACTCTTCAGGTTACTTGTTACTCCCCAAAGGGAACCTCAGATGCTGTTCTGAGACTGGTGCCTGCATTTGGACATGAGCACAGTTGGTGTTGGATTGGGCTTGGGTGCATCCTTGGGTGGACAGTCAGAGCTGCCAAGGCTGTATTGCAGTGCTGCCTTGTGAGGCTGGCTGAGTTCTTCCTGAAGTCTGTAGCGTCAAAGGATTGATCTGCCACTTTAACCGGGACCCATCGATGTTGGTGGTAAATGGCTTTATCCACACAAATCCAGTGTGCTTTGGGCAGACTGTTCATCCAAGAGGACAGAAAGGGAATCTGAAGCTGGACAGAACAACCCTGTGGAAGCTAAGGGTTGGCTGGGATAGTGCTGCTCACCTGCTGCTGTTCCTGTCTTGTGCCCGAAGAGCCTGCAGTGCTGTCTTCTGCCTTTAGAAGCCTCCTTCTTCCCACGCACAACCCTGCTGGGTGCTTTGCATTTTGGAGGGATGTGCTAGACTGTGACACAGACCAGGTAAGAGCCAAACCAGCAGCAGCAGGTACCCCAAAGCACCGTCCTGCTCCAAGCTTCTGTTGGCAGTGGCTGAGTGCCTGCTGCCTGTGACTGGGGGGAGCAGGAGGATGCTTGTGCTGCGTTTGGCCCTAGGCTGGATCCTGGCTGACAGACAGGCCCACCCCAACCTGCCATGGATGAGAACTGGGTTTTTTCCCCCAGTGACAGTGATTGCAGGAGGGTGATGGACCTGCAGTGTGTGTTCCCAGGCTGCTCTCAGTGCCTTGGTCTCTCTGCAGCCCCCTTCATTTCCCCTTTGAGGAGCTGAAGGGACACCTTGGTAGCAGACTCAGTGGCAGCATGTGAGCATTGCCAGAACTGCAGCAGGGAAACACAGCAAAGAGGATAAAGCCTTGCGGCCCTCCGTCTCCATCAGTTTGTGCTCCTGTAGCTCAGCCCCAGCCATGAGGAGCTGTGCTGGAAGGTGCTGACTGGTGCAGCTCCAGAAAAGCTGAGGTTTGTGGGGCTTTCCCAGCCTCTCACCTGGCTGCCGTGGGAGCAGAGGTGACCTGCTCCTTATGTCATTGGGATGAGTCCAGGCTTGGGCTGGCTGCAGGGCTGATCCCTTGTGCTCCCCAGTGCTGTGGCAGGAGGGGAGTGTCGTGGTCTGGTAGTGGGATTCCTCCAGGCCCTCGCTGCTGGTTCAGAAGAGCCATCCTTGCTTGGGAGAGGATTGGCTGCTCCATGGTTGGTGTCTCCCTGTCCGTGGACCATTCCTTTTCAACACCTTTCAGTATGCTTGTTAGAGTTTTGTGTGTTTGTTTTTTTTTTTTTTTAATTTTTTGAATGATTCAAATTATTTTAGTTTAATGTGAATTTATTTTCCCTTTTGAGGAAACATTCAGCCACCTCGTTGGCAGCAGTTAGCTGTCTTGTTTGAATTTTAGTAGTGGGTTTGGGGTTTTTTTTCCTTTTTTTTTTTTTTTTTTTTTTTTTCCAATTTTTACTCTAACTGCTTACTATTTATGACTCTCTTTCTCCCCATCTCAGTTCACCATCTTCTGTTCCAGTCCTGGGGTTCAGCAGTCAGCATAGCTGACCACATGGCGCTTAGTTCCTCCCAGCTGTGATGGAGCTTTTTGGGGGTTTTTTGTTTTGTTTTGTTTAGGTTTTTTTTGAATGGCACACTGTAGCAAACCTCCAGGAATTGAATTCCTTCTCAAATGATTTTGTGTTTTATAAAATCCTGTTAGTATGCACTGAGAGTGAACGCACTGTAATGTCCCTGAACTGACCCTGGCGCCTGTGCTGACACTAAAGGAGTTAACAGCTCGTCCTATGGGAATAGGTGTGAAATCTGCCATGCTCTGTGGCTGCAGAGGTGAACGCCTGTTTCTCAGATACCATTGGCACACTTGGGGCTGCAAAATAGTAGAACCAGGCCTTACTTTCGTAATCAGATGCCGTTCTGTTTGTCAACAGATGCTCATTGTGTTCCTTTCTTTCATTACGTGAGTCAGTCGAGGACTGTTCATCCTTTGAGTACTCTAGAAGTATGTTATACCTGTATACAGTAGGGGGCATTCTGCTTAGGTATTTATAAAACATTGCGTATAATGTACATAGTAGGGTCGTTTAGTATGTTGAACATGATCTTTTTTTTTCCTTTGAAGTACTCAAAGGGCTAGCTCTGAATGTCACCTCTCTGATCTCAGCATTCTGACTTCAAACAGCTGTACAATCGTTTTGTTCTCTCTTCAGCAAGCATAAAGGTCTCTCTGGCTACAGACCGCAGTGTCCACGCATGTTTGCAGAGAACGATCTGCATGCGGGCAGTGCCTCACCGCACCGGTGAAGCTTGTGTTCACCCTCTCCCAGCAGTAGCCATCTACTGCAGCTGCCTTTTTTTCCTTGCTGCCCATTATGCAGGGCTTCAACTTTTCATACTTTAAAAAAAAAAAAAAAAAAAGTGTTTTTCTTTTTTCCTTGCCCACCATGCTTTAAGTCTAAATGGGAGAGAACTCAGCAGACAGCGAGCGGCTCCTGGCTGCAAGGTTGCAGAGATATCTCAGATGCGGATGTGTTTTTCTGCCATTGGCTGCGCCGGTGCTCTGTGGGCATGGGCGAATATGGATCCATCTGCCCCCTGGTCTGCGTACTGTAGTTCTCATGTAGTGCAGAATTATCGAGGCATGTGGCTTTCTTAAGGTACACTATGTGTGCTTGCCTGGATTACAATACGAGACTGTCTTTTTTTATCGCTTACTACTAGCTTTCCAATAACCTCTATAAGTAACCTAACTCACATCTTTGTCATCCGAACCTTTTCTCCCCACCCCTTTATTTATCAAGCATAATATTACATGCTAAGGGACAGGAAAATAGACCTTTGTAGAATACAGCAGAACAATGTTGCTAACAATGTTTGAAATGGGAATTAAAACCTCTCTAAAAACGCCAGCCTTGAGAAATGACTTTGTTGGCACCGTGTTCATGCGCATGTATTTTTTTCTATTTTTTCCGCTTTTGTCATGTTTCATCCATATCTGTATTTATATCTTGTTTGTTTCACTTTTGAGTGTATCATGGCAATTGTACAGATGTTTTTTGTTAACATTTACGTGATAGAATTTGCTAAAAAAAAAAAAATAAAATAAAATAAAACCTTTTGAGTTTGCCCTAGAGCAAGTGGAACTTGGGTTTGTTTTCAGGAGAGGAGCATTAATGGAGGTGCGTTGTCCAGCACATCTCCCACTCCAGCAGCCTTTGCTTGTAAAAGTTTTGCTCTCTGTGAACCTTTTGCTTCTCAAGGATTCGCTCTCTGTGTTGAAAAATACACTGAACCTTTTGGCAAAGGGCTGCTGCTGCCTCGTGCAGATGGACCTCCTGTGTTGTGTGCAGGAACAGGGACCGGACTGCAGCTCTGGGAGTGGGGACTTGGCACATCTTGGAGATGGAGCTCTGTCCTGATGGAGCAGCCATGGGACTGCAGGGCCAGGCATCTGTGGCTCTTAGAAAGGGGACAGATGACAGAGCGCTCGTGTCTGTGTCTTGTAAAGCTCCGCATGTGGGCTTAATTTTGCCATAGAGTTGTGGGGGCTTTGGAAAAGCTCTGAAGGCTGAGGCATCACAAATGTGGTTTGAGATGAGCAGCCTGGACAGTTGGATGTCACTAACAGTGCTTAAAGGGTCAGTCCTTGGAAAACCCTCTTGGGAGGGCTTAGCAGGGGACCACCCTGCAGATGCAGAGCATCTGTGTACCACGCCTGGCTTCCACTGGCTCCTTGATCTGTCACTCAGAGTGAATGCTAAGATGGAGCCGTGGCTCTGTGAGATGCAGCTACAGCAAGTGAGGAGCCCAACTGGAGCGTCCTGTAGCAAGGAGCAGAAGAACATAATCTCACTTTGCTTCTTGGTTCCTGTCCTTGACTCCTGCACATGCCAAAGCGTGTTGTGGAGGAAGACGGCAGCGCTTTGACAGTGGGATGTTTGTTCACCAAACATTCTCAGAGTATCTCTTCTTGCAGCTCTCATGTGCAAAGCGCCCTGTAGCCCTAAACTACTTGACTGCTTCACAGATGGGGGATGAGGGTTGACTGCTGCTGGGGGTGCTCGTGTGCTGCAAAGTTGCTGCTGTCAGTGAAAGGCTGTGAGTGTGATCCTGGCATATCTGGCCCTGCCCTGCAGGCTCTGTCAGCTGGTCTCCCTGCAGCCTGGCACCATGCAACCATATCCCTGCTACAGGGGATATACCGAGGAGCTGCTAAGCAAGCACATCCGGACTAAGGGCCGCATCTTCATTTTCTCCAGTTAAAGAATAAGATGTTTGGGCTTAAAGCTGCTGGGAAAGCATACCAAGAGTGAACCCATCTCCTTGGGCTGGGAACTCAGTGCCACATGTGAGCAAGACAAGGAGCAGCAGGAAGGAACTGCTCAGGAGCAGGGAGAAGGAAAAACATCGCCTGGGAGCAGCCAAGGGAGCGTGAGGGCAGTGAGAACCAGAATGAGCTGACATGGGACCGGGGGGATTATGCGGTGTAGAGAGGGGTAACAAGTAATTAATGAGGAGAGGGATGAAATTAATAACAGCTCAAAAATGGCTGAGATAATGAACTCCTCTTTAAATCCACCTTTAACAAGAAAGCCAAGGGAAAGGATTTAGATCAATTAAGAAGTAAAGAAAATCTTGTAAAAACAGCTATTATCACAAGCTAGTGGGAGAATAGCTGGAACATCTTGCTGGGAAGAGGCAGCAGTGGGCTGAGACCTATATCTGTGGGGTCCTCGGGGGAAGTTCCCTGTGGTGAGAGCTGCATGCTCCTTGCCCCAGCCACCATTGGGATGGTCTCTTCCAGAAGCAGTCCTCTCTCCCAGTGATCCAGTTACACCCTGATCCCTCCTCTGTTCCTGGAGAAGCACAGCCCTTGGTCACTGTGCTCCTTTCTGGGGAGAGCCCTGGTAAGGCCCAGTCTCCTGCCCCTCTCCTGCAGGGCACTCTGGTGCAGCATCTCCTGTGCTTTGTCCATGCCTGGCATCAGCTGAGCCTGCTGCATTGATGCTCAGTACTGGAAGGGTTACGCAGCAGCCCTGCTGTTGGGGCAGTTTCTTGCTGCTGCTCTATAAATAGGAGCTGCTTTCTTAATCTGCTCCCACTGCTCTCCACTCCCCACCAGTTTTTTCCTGCTTTTTCCTGCAGGGAGGTACCTGCAGCCCCAGGCAGCTTTTGGCCCTGCTGTGCCCTAAACGCAGCTGGAAGGGCCCATTCATGGCACTCGTTGTTTGTCAACACTTCCACAACCACCCCTATTTAAAATGGATAGCCAAAAATGGAGGAGGGAGCCACTCTCGTGGCTTCCATGACCCCAGAATCCTGGTTTGTATCTTCCTGGTGCTTTTTGTGCTACAGGTTAGCTTCTAGCAAATGCCTCCAATTTCTGGTGCTGATCCGAACTTCTTTTCTTTATAATCTTGTTGTTCTGGGTTTTCCTTTTTTCAGTGAAAATTCACTCTCCTACCACTCACTTTCCAGAGCTGCTGTACCCTCAGCTTACTGATGCAAAGCATTCTCCAAAAAATCCCATCTGATATTTTCAGTTTCTGGTGTGACGTGGCCTACCTTGATCTGTGAGCATCTTCCCCCTCAGCCAGATGCTGCTGCCGTGTCAAGGTAAGGCCGTGAGCCTCTGCTCCCAGCTGCAGTGTCAGGGAAGGCCATCTCCTCCTACATGTTTCACTCAGTCCCAGCAACACTTGCTGATAGGGTTCGCCTGCCATCCCTATGCAGCCATGCTGAGCGCCCATTTCATGCCTTAGGACCTCTGCAGGACCTTCGCTGCTTTGCAGAGATCCCAGTTGACCTGTTCCCACCAAATTTTTGTTGCAGGTGCGTATTTTATACCTGTTTGCAGAGGCTCCCACTTTAGAAAACTGCAGCAGACTGGGGATGTGGTGGTGGAGACACCGGGAATGTTGTCTCTGTAGTATTTTGCCCAGCATATGAGTTTTCACTCCATTTGCTTTGGAATTCTGTAATCTGCACCATTTGGGCTAGTGCTAAATATTAACTGAGATTTGCACTTAATAACTTGACAGCATCGCGTTGGAGCCCAGCACACATCTCCCAGCCCTGCTGAAGGTTTAAGGATGCTGAGGCACATAGCACTGTGGTTCCAAGTTTGTGCCAGAGCCCTCCAGCATTCCTACATTCCACCTGTGCTTGGCTGGGACATACCCAGGTACCATCCAGCTTTGGTTTAAGCCACCCAAAAATCTTTGTTTCCATGGTTAATACAACCAGGGGCAGTTTGCTGATTTGAACACAGAACGAAAAACCTCAGCAGAAATCAAAGCCCTGGAGGGGACTGGTATGTACAGGAATGTCATTAACAACTAATCCCCTCTAATCCAAGATGAACATTATCACACGAGGGCACGAAATGTAATTAGATGTAAACAGTGCTATCTCTAGAGCATGGAGTAAATATTAACTGATCCATCTTCCCGAGGGGCTGGCCCAGCTCCTGGGTTGGGCAGGTGGGGAAACCATGTGGGCAAGAAAGCTCTATCAAAAGAGACGTGTAAGCAAGGTAAAAGACACTGACGTTGTGCTGCCACAAAGACTTGTGGAGGCAGCACAGGGGGCGCCCATAGAAGACGTGGTGGAACCTGAGCCTGCTCCCCTCCCCATAGCTGAGGCCTGTGCTCAGTGCAGGCGCGCACATGGGGCCCAGTGCTGCCCAGAGCCATTCAGGGATGCTCTGTCACCAAGGAGGCGACAAGGCCTTTGTGCCCCTGTGCTCCCCAGGCCCTCTGCAGCTGTGCTGTGCCTGCAGGGAGATGGAACACATGCTCAGACATGGCATTCTGCTAAGGCATGTTTAAATGATGTTCTGCCATCTCTTTGATTCTGATTCCTTAGGGATCATTTCCTAATGGTGCCATCAGGCCTTGCAAGCTGCTGTCGGGCGATGCCTTTCTGCTATTGAGGTGGTGTCTGTGTTGTGCCACAGAAGCCTGATTGCAGCTGTAGGGATGTGGCATGGAGACCGTCTGACCAAACGTGAGCACACCACAGGGCACAGCTTTGGCCTTTCAGGCAGCTCGCCTGATGCCGTGTTTCCAGCTATACAGTGCTACCAGCGAGCTGTTGTACCATGTGGGAATTGATCAACATCTCTGCCAAGTGCCATCAAAATGCTCCTTCCCTACCCCCAGGGTCCACTGCCACTGGCTCCTGGGCTCCTTCCCTCCACCTCCAGATCTGAGGCTGCAGAGATCCAATCACATATTGAAAAATTCCATAGCACCTTCTGACTGCAGTGAATATCACATTCAATGCCACTGGAAGTCTCTTGCATTATCTAGTTCTATGTCTTCCAACACATTTTGTTTTAATTTCCAGCAGAGATGGGGATCCCTAAGAAGTCAGATCTGCAGCCTGCTGGCCAGCTTGGTGCAGTCGCCTTCCACAGAACCTTCACAGCAGTCCTGGCCATGGATGTTCAAAAGGTGTTCCTGATAACTTCACTTGGTAGTGATCTGAAACAGGCGTATAAACACAGGTTTGGATGGTAGTGGCTGGCTAGAAAGCACCAGGAGCAGGGGATAGGGTACACAAGACAAGCATGACTTAGTGGCGCGCTTATCAGCAAATTGTCAAGATCATAGCGCACCTACATGCAGATTTTCAGGGTGGAATAGGCAAAGAAAGAGAGGGTGGCCTGCAGCAAAAGACAGCCTACTGCTAGGTTGAGACAAGCCTGAGATCATGGAGGGTGATAGATAAGGGCTGGAATGGAGCCTTAGGGCATTCAGGGAGGAAAGGGCAGTGAGCTGGATCCAATGGCCTACAGCGTAAGACAGGATGGGAAGATGAAAGAGGACAGCTGGTGTCAGCCCCAGCCTTCCAGAGCACATCAGGGTGAGCAGAGCATGTCAGCCACAGGAGTCAGGATGAGGAGTGCGTAGCCACATCCCTTGTGCTGGGTCATTGTGAGGGATCCTGAGCAGCCCATGGTTGATAAACACCTGTACTGACTGTGAGTATGTGGGTAGAGAGAGCGTGAGCGAAAGCAGGTTTGCTTTTAAAATAAAACCCCTCTCCTCCTCCAAAGTCTTGTCTTGAGATATACTTCTATCATTGTTACCCAACAGACAAGTGTTTCCTATGCAGATTGCCCTAGGA